GTGAAACTTGTATATTATATTCATACATTACATACAAACTCATATATTTCAGATGTTTATTTTGTTTAATTTTGATGATTACAAATGACAACAAATGAAAATCTCAAACTCATCATATCAGAAAATTAGAATATTACTGAAGACCAATAAAAACAAAGGATTTATAGAAATGTTGGCCAACTGAAAAGTATGAACATGAAAAGTATGAGCATGTACAGCACTCAGTATTTAGTTGGGCCTCCTTTGGCCTGTATTACTGCAGCAATGCGGCGTGGCATGGAGTCGATCAGTCTGTGGCACTGCTCAGGTGTTATGATAGCCCAGGTTGCTCTAATAGTGGCTTTTAGCTCTTCTGAATTGTTGGGTCTGGTGTATTGCATCTTCTTCTTCACAATACCCCATAGATTTTCTATGGGGTTAAGGTCAGGAGAGTTTGCTGGCCAATTAAGAACAGGGATACCATGGTCCTTCAACCAGGTACTGGTAGCTTTGGCACTGTGTGCAGGTGCCAAGTCCTGTTGGAAAATGAAATCTGCATCTCCAAAAAGTTGGTCAGCTGCAGGAAGCATGAAGTGCTCTAAAACTTCCTGGTATGTGGCTGCGTTGACCCTGGACCTCAGAAAACACAATGGACCAACACCAGCAGATGACATGGCACCCCAAACCATCACTGACTGTGGAAACTTTACACTGGACTTCAAGCAGCGTGGATGAAGTGCCTCTCTTCTTTTCCTCCAGACTCTGGGACCTTGATTTCCAAAGGAAATGCAAAATTTACTTTCATCAGAGAACATGACTTTGGACCACTCACCAGCAGTCCAGTCCTGTTTCTCTTTAGCCCAGGCAAGACGCTTCTGACGCTGTCTGTGGTTCAAGAGTGGCTTGACACAAGGAATGCGACAGCAGAAACCCATGTCTTTCATACGTCTGTGTGTGGTGGTTCTTGAAGCACTCACTCCAGCTGCAGTCCACTCTTTGTGAATCTCCCCCACATTTTTGAAGGGGTTTTGTTTCACAATCCTCTCCAGGGTGCGGTTATCTCTCTTGCTTGTACACTTTTTTCGACCACATCTTTTCCTTCCCTTCGCCTCTCTATTAATGTGCTTGGACACTGAGCTCTGTGAACAGCCAGCCTCTTTAGCGATGACCTTTTGTGTCTTGCCCTCCTTGTGCAAGGTGTCGATGGTCGTCTTTTGGACAACTGTCAAGTCAGCAGTCTTCCCCATGATTGTGTAGCCTATAGAACTAGACTGAAAGACCATTTAAAGGCTTTTGCAGGTGGTTTGAGTTAATTAGCTGATTAGAGTGTGGCACCAGGGGCCATCAATTTTGAACCTTTTCACAATATTCTAATTTTCTGATATGATGAATTTGAGATTTTCATTTGTTGTCATTTGTAATCATCAAAATTAAACAAAATAAACATCTGAAATATATGAGTTTGTATGTAATGTATGAATATAATATACAAGTTTCACTTTTTAAATGGAATTACTGAAATCAATCTACTTTTTCATGATATTCTAATTTTATGACCAGCACCTGTATAGTGAAAAATGCAGTGGTAAACCACAGTAGTGGTGGCATCATCATGCGGTGCAAGAAAGGATTAGTTTAGGTTTAACCTTCCAGCTGGACATGAAATAATATACAGGTGCTGGTCATAAAATTAGAATATCATGAAAAAGTAGATTGATTTCAGTAATTCCATTTAAAAAGTGAAACTTGTATATTATATTCATACATTACATACAAACTCATATATTTCAGATGTTTATTTTGTTTAATTTTGATGATTACAAATGACAACAAATGAAAATCTCATATTCATCATATCAGAAAATTAGAATATTGTGAAAAGGTTCAAAATTGATGGCCCCTGGTGCCACACTAATCAGCTAATTAACTCAAACCACCTGCAAAAGCCTTTAAATGGTCTTTCAGTCTAGTTCTATAGGCTACACAATCATGGGGAAGACTGCTGACTTGACAGTTGTCCAAAAGACGACCATCGACACCTTGCACAAGGAGGGCAAGACACAAAAGGTCATCGCTAAAGAGGCTGGCTGTTCACAGAGCTCAGTGTCCAAGCACATTAATAGAGAGGCGAAAGGAAGGAAAAGATGTGGTCGAAAAAAGTGTACAAGCAAGAGAGATAACCGCACCCTGGAGAGGATTGTGAAACAAAACCCATTCAAAAATGTGGGGGAGATTCACAAAGAGTGGACTGCAGCTGGAGTGAGTGCTTCAAGAACCACCACACACAGACGTATGAAAGACATGGGTTTCTGCTGTCGCATTCCTTGTGTCAAGCCACTCTTGAACCACAGACAGCGTCAGAAGCGTCTTGCCTGGGCTAAAGAGAAACAGGACTGGACTGCTGGTGAGTGGTCCAAAGTCATGTTCTCTGATGAAAGTAAATTTTGCATTTCCTTTGGAAATCAAGGTCCCAGAGTCTGGAGGAAAAGAAGAGAGGCACTTCATCCACGTTGCTTGAAGTCCAGTGTAAAGTTTCCACAGTCAGTGATGGTTTGGGGTGCCATGTCATCTGCTGGTGTTGGTCCATTGTGTTTTCTGAGGTCCAGGGTCAACGCAGCCACATACCAGGAAGTTTTAGAGCACTTCATGCTTCCTGCAGCTGACCAACTTTTTGGAGATGCAGATTTCATTTTCCAACAGGACTTGGCACCTGCACACAGTGCCAAAGCTACCAGTACCTGGTTGAAGGACCATGGTATCCCTGTTCTTAATTGGCCAGCAAACTCTCCTGACCTTAACCCCATAGAAAATCTATGGGGTATTGTGAAGAAGAAGATGCAATACACCAGACCCAACAATTCAGAAGAGCTAAAAGCCACTATTAGAGCAACCTGGGCTATCATAACACCTGAGCAGTGCCACAGACTGATCGACTCCATGCCACGCCGCATTGCTGCAGTAATACAGGCCAAAGGAGGCCCAACTAAATACTGAGTGCTGTACATGCTCATACTTTTCATGTTCATACTTTTCAGTTGGCCAACATTTCTATAAATCCTTTGTTTTTATTGGTCTTCAGTAATATTCTAATTTTCTGATATGATGAATTTGAGATTTTCATTTGTTGTCATTTGTAATCATCAAAATTAAACAAAATAAACATCTGAAATATATGAGTTTGTATGTAATGTATGAATATAATATACAAGTTTCACTTTTTAAATGGAATTACTGAAATCAATCTACTTTTTCATGATATTCTAATTTTATGACCAGCACCTGTAGATATATGGAAGAAAAACAGTCTCATTGGAATCTGCCTTTTTTTTTAAACACCAAATTTTAAACACTGAATTTTTTCAGAGACCCCCACATTCGTGTCTTCAGTTGACACGGAGTACATGTCAGACTTGGGGATATTGCTTTAGCAATAGTTTCAAGGTGTTGCTTTATTGTATATCTTGTACCGTGTCTTTTGGTTGTTCTGTTCTTTTTTTCCATCTCGTTACAGGTGATAAAGCAGATTGAAAATGTTTTGTCATTATCTCCTTTCCATCTCTTCTTTCTTTCATCTTTTTTCCTTTTCTTCTTCTGTTTTTCTGCTCTATTTACATTGCAGTGTCCATATAAACTGTAAAACTCGCTGCATAATTATAATAAAGCAATTTATATGCATGAAACAAGTGGAGCAATATGGCAATTGCCGTACTGCTCCACTTGTGAAAGTAAAATCTGTTGGGCTCTTTTTGGCATCAAGACACTTATTCTTATTGCCACATCGCCAGACAGGACAGTGTTAAAAAAAATAATAATAAAATAAACACTGAATTTTTTTAGACATTGAATTCCTTACACTCAATTTTATGGAAGCCCGTTTCCACCACTCTGTAAAAAAATTATCTAATTTTAATGAGATAGTAACTCAATATAATGAGATAGTATCATTATATTGAGTTACTATCTCATCATATTGAGATATTATTTTATTTTTTACAGAGGGGCGGAAACGGGCTTCCATACAATTTTTATCTGGTAAAAATTCACCAGAAAAAAAATCAGTGGCAAAAGTGTTGACCTTTTAATGAATTCAAGCCAAAGCAATCTACTAGCCAATCAAATTAGCTCATTTCGTCACGTGACAACGGCTGCGCTCAGCGTTGTTCCCGGCTGAATAAGGAATTTTTTATTTGGTTAAACAGAGAATTACAAAACGTCAGTTAGCTACTAACAGACAGCCATAAGAGTTTTTCCTCTTATCAGACAGGGTGAAACAACTGAGCCGATCACAGCTAGTGCGGCACCCCTGTCTGTTTGCCGCCGCCATGTTGCCTCTGGCCGAAATGAAGAAAAAAATGTTTGCCGCCTGGGTGTTGTACTAGCTGTGAATGGCTCAGTAGATCATAGCCGTTGTGTCACGTGACCAAATGAGCTAATTTCATTGGCTAGAAGCTGCTTGATTCTATCGAGTGTAGATTGCTCTGGCTTGAGTTCACCAAAAGGTCAACACTTTTGCAGCCGAATTTTTTTGCAGCTCAATTTTTACCAGATAATAATTGAGTGCAAGGAATTCAATAAAAAAAAAAAAAAAAAAAATATCAGTGTTTAAAATTCGGTGCTCAAAAAAAGGCAGATTCCAATGAGACCTTTTCTTCCATATAGATGTAATTAAATTATTTAGATAAAAACACAATGAGGCGTTAGAACGGCCTAGTCCAGGGAAAGATTCAAAGATAAGTGGAGAAACTGAAATGTTTGTTTCATGATCAGATCTGACAGCTTGCCTGCCGCAGACTCTGTAGAACATTTTGGAAAGATTTTAAATCACTCTCCTACTTGCAGTAGCAGCCTTTCAAAATGACCCTTCCCAGTCAAACCGGCGAATGGAAGCCCACTTAACTGTAGGGGACCAGCCAAGGACCCATCAAGGAAAGTGGGGAACTTTTGAATGTCTACTACTGTATCTTTGAGGTCAAGGTGAGTCTATTTCAAGAGGAAGAATTTTTAAGAAGAAAGGAGCCATATTTCTGAAAAACAACCGTTTATTTAGTACCCACTCCTTAAAGTCGGACGGTAGGATCTAGTTTTCATACAGAACAGTGCAAAAAAACAAACCAGCTCCTCAGTCGCACACGAGGGCAGTCAGATATTAAATACAATCATCAGGGATGGATAGTTAGAGGAGCTGACCAATCAGAGAGCAGTATGACTGACATGATTAGAACACAGAAGGCCACTGGCAGATTGGATGGGTTACAAACGTTTGTAAACGCATTCGCCGGCATCACAGCATCCAAAACGCATCTTTTCCTGCAGGCTCATCCATATTCAGAACCGTAGAAAAAGAATGGAGACAAGAGTTCAGTGTTTGCATTGTTGTCTTCATCATCAGCAGCAGCAGGACTTAAACATGGAGAGCAACAGTAACATCCACGATGGCGGAAGGAGGATGAAACACTTCAGCATCGATCGACGATTCAGCTCTGAAATGGCACATGTGTGTCCTCCCAGGTGGGGGCGAGGGGGTGGCTCTGAGAGGCAGAGGCCTGCTAGCTGAACAGGCTACTGGCTGTGCTTCTACAGAGGAAACAGGTGATAAGGCAGAGAGGATGAGCCGAGCTCCTCAAAGAAAACCCAACGGGTTTAGAAGACGTAGATCTTGTCTCTCTGAATAGTGTCGAGGTCGTCGTCCATGGTCAGCAGGACCTATGAGGGCAGAGAGGAGAGAGTCCGACATGTGGCCAGTTCTGCATCAGCTTCACACGGATAGATCGCTCTGATGACACCTACCAGGAAGGACCCGAACATGGCGATGGAGGACAGGAAGTGCCAGATGTCGTGGTCGTCAAAGAAAGACAACAGGATGCAGTCTCGGTTATGCTCTCGAGACTCAGCTGGAGTTTTCTGGAAAAAAGAAGGTGCTTAGAAATTCATAACGTTTCCATCTGAAGGAATCAGAATATCACCAGAAATTTAATTAAAAAAGGAACACTTTGATAAATGACTAAAAAACCATAAGAAAGATTTCAAGCTTTTACTTTGGTTAATTAAAAAAGATTAATGGAAGATCTTCTAGATAACAGGAAAAGCAACGGATCAGAACCAATTCAAGCAACATAGCTCCCGTCTCTTCTACTTTACTGTCAGACTCTGTGACCCTGATTTAAATGTAGATTTAAACCTTATTTTCATCTGAAAAAAGGACTTCAATCTCCTGAGCTACAGTCCGGATCTGGTTCTTCTTAGTCCAGGTGAGACACGGGAGCGGCTTAAACAGCTGCAGCTAAAATAAACCGTTTCAGAACCCCAATCAGCCTTCTAGTCTTTACAGGGAATATTGTTCCATTATTGTTAAAAGCAAAGAACATGTTTTGATGTAGGAGGACGCCCTGAAATCGAAGGATTGACGGTTCAAGCCCACACTCCGACTTTCATTGTCGTTGTGTCCTTGGGCAAGAAACTTCACCTGCATTGTCTACTGATGGTGGTCAGAGGGCCCGGTGGCGCCAGTGTACGGCAGCCTCGCTTCTGTCAGTAAGCCCCAGGACAGCTGTGGCTACAATGTAGCTAGCCACCATCAGTGTGTGCGTGAATGGGTGAATGAATGTAGTGTAAAGCGCTTTGGTCAAGCCTCCTAACTTGAATATATAAGTACATGCCATTTACCTTTTACCAAATGAAAATTGGAAGAAAAAAAAAAAAACAGAAATGAAACTTTGAAAAATGTCTTAGTTAAAAAAAAAAAATTATTTTGAGAGTATCTTTGTGGTTTCCTCAGATTTTATTTTTTTCAAATTGAGTTTTAATAACTATTTTCTCTTCTTTCCTCTGGAGTGTTTGTTGTGGGCCTAAAGTGAAGAGAATGTGATCTGTAAAGCAATTGAAAACTGCAAAAACTCCAAAAATAAAAATCTGAAATAAGAAAATGTTCATATAAAAACCAGTAAAAAAAAAGTGGAAATAATTAAGAAAAGCACAGATTAAAAAATACCCTTTTTTTTATTTCCATTAACAAAACCTGTTCTTTACTTCCAACAATAATGGAACAAAATTCCCTCCCTTCTTCTATACTAGCATAACCTCTTTACCAGTAGGTACGATTCCATCAGCCATGAACTTTCACAAATTGTAAAAAAAAAAAAAAAAAAAAAATCTACTACCGTAATTTTCAGACTATAAGCCGGTGTAGGTACCAGATTGACTCGGGCTGCCAGATTGACTCGGGGTCCTGCGCCTTTTGATGATGTCATAATATGGCAACTCGTTACAAATGCAGACCGCGGACCGCAGACCGCAAGGCCCATGGCGAATTCGGTGACGTCATCGGAAGGCGCAGGGACCATGGAGAATTTCTTCGTAAAATTGTCCGTTTACAAACCGCAATCCCGCTTTTGAATAAAACCTACACTCCGCTATAATTACTTTGGTAAGCTGTCCAGACCAATCAAAATGTTTTGCGCAATTGTGCAAACGTTAAAACAATTATGTATTGTGACGTCATCAAAAGGCGCAGGCCCCCCGAGTCAATCTGGCAGCCCGAGTCAATCTGGTACCTACACCGTGACTTTTCCCCCCGTTTTCCGACCTTGCGGCTTATATAACAATGCGGCTTATCTATGGACTTTCACAGCTAACGGCCACTAGGGTAATACCTAAATCTATGGATTTTACCATCCACCATGTTGACGTCACATTTGCTTCGACACACAAGTACGGTAGCCGCGCGCGCAGGAATGCCGAGGTCCTCCGGAAGCAGACTTCTACCGCGAGGTGGTACGAGACATAACGACAGCGAGAAAGACGGACATTAAACATAAAAAACCTGCGCATTATAGTCCGGTGCTGCTTGTATATGTACAAATCATGCAATTTAGCTTCTGCGGCTTATATTCAGGTGTGGCTAATAGTCCGAAAATTACGGTAAATGGTAACATTACAATTTTGAAATTGAATTATTTGATCGAAACTCTGCGATGGAGACATTAGTGAGCGATGTTGATAACAGTGAGCACAGTCACTACCCGATCCGTACAATCAGCTCAATTACACACGTGCAACCAGATATATATCCAGGTCACCCTTTAATTTTACTCTCTAAAATTTTACTCTATAAAAAGAGCTAAATTACCTTTTCCCCTCAGAAAATTAGTAAATGTGCTAAATATAATGTGCTGAATTAAGAAGGTATTCCCTTAAAAAACAAATGTATAAAAATCCTTTCTGTTTTATAATTCGTCTGTGCCCGATCCTCACCGGAAATTGGATCCTACTTCTGGGAGCTAACGTTTTTCGGCTTTGTATTTAAACATTAATCTAGCCTTTTTGAGTTTTATTGTTTGTTTTCCTATTAACATGGTATACAATAACCTGACTCCGCCAGATAGATTTGCTCCGCATATCCATCTGGAAACCTTCCGTTGAAGTAATTTTGGGAAGGGGCGAAAATACTGGTTAGCTGATTGGCCTATGTTGGTGATAGACGGGCCAAATAAACCAATCAGATCAACGAAGCATATGACGTAACAGAGCGACGACGAAGAGGAGCCAATTGATAGATCAAACTCTTGCCGAAACCAGTCGGGAGAAGAGCAAAAACATCTTTTCCTATGAGAAAAGCCTCCAGAGCAGTGTTTTGCTCTTCTTTCAGTGAAGAAATACTCTGTAATTCCGATAAAACTTGCTTGATAGCCACGCTAACGCTAGTTTCGTCGACTGAAGCCGCCATGTTCTTTAGACTGAACTGTCGCGCTTCTCGTTGCGTCACACCTCAACCCGCCTCAAAGCCAACGCTGATTGGACGTTCGTTTGGTGAACGGCTCCAAATTTTCTTCAACAGAGTCTCCAGACTGATTAGCGAGTGAAATCTTGAAAGCTCACGAGATCAGGATGGTCTCACGAGGCTACAAGTACGGTAGCCGCGCGCGTGGGAATGCAAAAATGTAAAATTAGTAAGTGTGCTTAAATATAATGTGTTGAATTAATAATGTATTTCCTTAAAAAACGAATGTAAAAAAATAAATCCGGAAATTGGGAGCTAACATTTTTCGGCTTTGTATTTAAACATAAATCTAGCCTTTTTGGGTTTTATTGTTTGTTTTCCTTTCATGTTAACATGGTATACAGTGCATAATCTAAAGAACGAAACAACTAAAATAAAGATAAACGGTTTAATCATATTTTGCTCTGAGCAGTTTAATGGTGAAAATGTAAAAAGCATAAAATTTGTCTCCCAAATTTTGTAGATGTGTAATAGCATTCTTTAGTGATTTAAGGATATAAATAAGTACTTTTGGTACCATAATTACATTATTTATTGCAACCTGGATGGATATCTGCTTGCACATGCGCAAAGGAGATGATGGTACAGATCAGGTAGTGTTAGGCATTACAGCGTGGCTGAAACATCCATCCATTATCTTACACGCATGTCCCAATTTGGGTCGCGAGGGGTGCTGGTGCCTATCTCCAGCAGTCAATGGGCGAGAGGCGGGGTACACCCTGGACAGGTTGCCAGTCCATCGCAGGGCAACACAGAGACACACAGGACAAACAGTTATCGCATGAACACACGTATGTGCAATTTAAAATAGATTATTTTCTAATGGAAGTACAGCAATTGCTAAAATTATTATTTTTGAAATTAGCAGAATGTGGAGTCTTGCTCACATTTGTAATGAAACCCAACTACTGACCAACTGTCAGTTTCCCCATGATTGTTTCTAGAACAAAGTTTAACATTTGGTACAAAAGAAGGTAATAGATAAATGCCTGAGATCTTTCTCTTGTGTGATAAATGTTTAGGCGTTTTAAATCCGAATCGTAGGAATGAATTCCCCATTCAGTGTTGTTCTAATCCATGTGTGAGCATGCGCTCTGAGCTGCTGACCTGCCAGGTGCTGAGTCCCTGGAAGAAGAAGTAGAGCGCAAACCCCCAGACCACCGCCGTGAAGAGAATACACACCAACGGCAGACATTTGATTCTCTCGCCGCTCCGCAGCTGAAACAAAGACAACAGTGACCAAATGTGTTCAAACATGGCGTACCATGGTGCCGATATCCAAAACACTCACCTTCATGATGATGTAGAAGGCAAAGTAAAGCAGCAGGTTGCAGATGGCGATGGCCAGCAGGTAGGAGGCGAAGTCGTTGGGTCTCTCTATGAGCCCGTAGGCGGCGCTGCAGACAGGAAACGGCCGTTAGAGGTGAAGCTCCAGACTGCAGCTCTGAACAAACCTCAGACAGTGTGTTTACTCACAGAGACCAGTTGACTATATTACCCATTACAAGCAGCACCATACGGTCCTGGAAGAGAAAGCTTGCATTTAAAACTCACATCTAAAACTTTATTCTTCTAGTTAGAAGATCAATAGATGCAGTTTTTTTTTAGGGCTGATACCAATTATTTAGACATCAGTCTGACTGATCCCAGATATGTGCTGCCAACTTTTTGGTAGCCAGTTTTTGTAGCGGTATTTTTATTTTTTTTATTTACATGAGAAAAGCAACATAATAAAAAGCTCAATAGAAACAAAGATGCATGTGCATGAATGAACCGACCCCTCGGTTTCCCTGGAAGCGGAAGCAGTGCGGCTCTGCAGGGCTGATTGTAGCAAAGTCAGAGTGGTTTCACTCAAAACTTCTATAAAATACGCAGCTGTTCTATTTCTCCACTTCAAATCCACGTTGATTTGGAGCAAAGCGAATCGTTCAGGCAGGAAGTCAGTTGATGAAAAGCAAAGAAGATCCAGTCGACACTGTCTACTTTTAACGGTAGGATTAAAACTTTCCTTTTTGATAAAGCTTATAGTTAGAGAAGCTTAGATTATCCTGAGCTATCTCTACAGTTATGCTGCTATAGGCTTAGACTGCTGGACAGAGATGGCAAAAGTACTCACTTTCCGTACTTGAGTAAAAGTACAGATACTTGTGTTAAAAAATACTCTGGTAAAAGTGGAAGTACTGATTAAACTTCTTTACTCAAGTAAAAGTAACAAAGTACAGGCTTGTAAATTTACTTAAAGTATAAAGTAAAAAGCACTTTTTTCATGCCGTTGCCTACATTTTAAATGGATGTCTGCCAATAGGACTAGATCTCCGTTGTGTTCATTTTCAATCATCCCGTCGTCCATGCTACTATGCTAACGCCACCGCCACCAAGCTGCAATGATTTGCCACGAATGAATACCGCCGAATCTGTCGATTCATCTTGTAGTGGTGCGTCAAATGCAACGTAGATTCCCATCCAATTAGATTGAATTTGGTATTGATGACGTGAAAAATAATAACGGTAACTCCATTGAAATGATTCAAAACTAAAGTAACGAGCCAATTTTTTTAAATTTTTTTTTTTTTTTTTTTTTTTTTTTTTTTTTTTTTTTTTTTTTTTTTTTTTTAAATGTAAGGAGTAGAAAGTACAGATATTTGTGTAAAAATGTAAGGAGTCGAAGTAAAAAGTCGCCATAAAAATAAGTAGTAAAGTAAAGTAAAAATATCAGAAAAATCTACTTGAGTACAGTAACGAAGTATTTGTATTTCGTTACTTCCCATCTGTGCTGCTGGAGGACATAGGGACCCCTAGTTCATCATTCTGCTTCATTTTATCTCTATTCTCCCACTCTGAAGAATTTGTTAGTTCAGTCTCTAACATTATGTTCTCTCTGCTTTTTCTCATAGTAACTTCCTCTGGTCTGTTCCTGTTTGGCTGTGACTCCATCCTGGAAAGACAGGGCTGCCTGGGTTTCCAGTTGTCTTTTGTATCTATGCTTTCTGTACGTCTGCTTCTGTCTCCTTGAACCCCAGTCGGCCTCAGTTGATGGCCGCTCACACTGAGCCTGGTTCTGCTGGAGGTTTCTTCCTGTTAAAAGGGAGTTTTTCCTCTCCACTGTCGCTACAAGCATGCTTAGTGTGAGGGATTGCCTTCGAGTCAATAAGTCGATGCAATCAACTGGTTTTCCTTACATAGAAAACTTTGAATCAATTTGACTGAAACCCTAGATGGAAAAAAAAAAAAACATCCCGTGATTAAATGAAGAGCTGCTGGTAGAATCGGTAAAATGAACATTATGCTGCTTCATCTAGAGTGCTGTGATGTGATCCTGAAATGATCCAACCGCACAGACTACCGTTGAAAGAAGCCGCTGCCCAGCTGCTGCATGTCCAGTGGAACCGAGAGGTAATGAATGCATGCATGCACTTGCTGATGTCAATGACATAAAATAAGAAAAATAAAAAGCGTGTACCAGCCTATAAAATCAGCCTGCCGAAGTGTCTCTCTCTAATTATATCTCTATTTAGGAAAACCATAAAATGGTAAAAGTGTTTCATTACAAGGTTGTAAAATGGTCTTTACTCACGATGTACATGGGTCCACTGCACTGTCTGATGCAGTCAGTGTAGAGCACATAAACGATGCGGCGCAGGACACCAGAGTCTAATAAACACAAACAGGTAAGAGAACCAATCAATAAAAAGGCAACATATTTGAGGTAAAAATCCCCAACGATATTTATAGTTTGTTAAAAAAGAAATAGAGGAACTGAAACAGTGAATAAAATTAGCTTTGACAACCTGCTCCCCCTGATCAGTCCCAACTAATCAAACCTCCAGATGAACTGATTTGGTCTCTTTACCCCAAATTAACACATATTTGATCAAATACTGGGCTTTAAATATTAACTTAAATAATCTGAACCCTTTTACAGTTCAGAGAACGTATCTCCATGTTTATAATGGCATTTTTTTGTGAGATCTGCACATGCTCCTTGCTGCTCCTCTAAGCTTCACACAGCAGCAGAGAAGTAAAGTCATACATCAAGCAGTAAATGTATCATAAGGCATTTAAGGAGCCCAAAGGTATCTCTGGTGAAGGATCAGAGAACCAAAGGCGTGAGAATCGGTCACCTTCTATTAGCTGTACAAGTCTTAGTCTGGCTTTAATGAAAGAATCCAAATTAGAAAGACATAAACCTGTAGTTTGCCAAAAGCATGACACAGCGAGTAGCACCGTCAAAGCAGATCATTCTGAATATAAAATCCTCACTGTGAAGCCTGGTGGTGGCAGCATAATGCTGTGGGGGCTGTTCTTATGCTACATTAAGACCTCAAGCAGAGGCAGCAGAAACACGCTAACTGCTTCATTTTTTATGCTTGTACAGGTTTAGTTCTGACGCGCAGCTGAAGCATCTGCTGCTCCAGATGCGTGGTTGAAAAGTGGCTCTGATGCGTGTTGGGTCGAGCTTTCTGCCTGTTACATTGGCAGCTCTATTTGCTGTAAAAACTAGTTTTAATAAGTTAGAAAGCCCACCTGAAAACTTCTGTGATGTCAATTCATCAAGATCACGATCCTGCCTACATATTATTTCGCTGTTGGAGGCGCTCAGACCCGTGTACACCGGCGGTGCGCTGTCATTAGGAATCCCGTTCAACGACAGCCTCCGGCCCAGTCGCCTCTTCGCTTTAGCATTTTCCGTTACTACTTGCGGCGGCAGGAAGTGGATGACAGCGTTTTTTTTCCGTACGTAATCCAAACTGCAGGCACCAGGATAATAAAGGCGAACATATTTTACTGGCAGGTTTCGACATTTTATGTTTATTTAGGGATAAATAAACTGTTTCAGAGGAGAGATGATAGCGCTCTGCATCAGCAGCGATGTGTCTGTCTCCCTGCCAGCTCCCAGATCAGCTTCTCTGATTGGTTGATGTAGCGCGTTGAGCAGCTAAAGTTCAATTTTTCCAGCAACACCAGCTGCTGCTTCTGGAGCACATAGCTCATGATGCACTGCAGAACCTTTCGCTGCGCCGAGATGCGTGTCAACCATTGACTTTGCATGTAAACTAGCTGCTTCTGCTGCTTGCGGTGTGAACGTAGCATTAAGCAAAGAGAGGTGCAATTCAGGAACTCAACCTGTTAGACTGTTGAAGACTTCAATGAAACTGAGGTTCAGCTTCTTGCAAGAGAAAAAACATAAAATAAACAAATTCTGTGATCTCAATCTATTATAAAAGGAACCAAATCATAAATGAAAACAGAACATTTTAATATCCTTAGAGAACATCTTCAACGCCTGTAGCATTTAATCAGAGGTGTGAGACCAGGGATTAACTTTCAGAAAGACGTAAACTACTTAAACTGCTTATGGTTGACCATCTGATATAAACTGTGGTGTTTAGTGTTGTGACCGTACCGAGCCGCCATCGGCCCATGTAGTAGAGCTGTGTGCTGAGGAACAGGGTGGCCAGGATGTGGATGACAGAGAAAACGATCCAGAACACCATGTTTCCTTTCCCAAAAACCTGCAAAACCAAAACAGAGAAGCAGCATCCTGAAGCACGATTACCAACAGCTCCAACACGGCTGCTGCGAGGTGCGCCTGCGTGTGTGAGCGTACCACCCCCAGGACGGAGAAAAAGATGACCGCCGCCAAGCAGGCGTAGGCGGTGTAGGCACTGGCGTTGATGTCGGGGTGTCTCTTCTGATACAGCTTCAACATGCACAGCCCTGCGATCATGTACATGAAGGAGGTGTCTGGGAGGGGAGGAAACCACAACGCAGAGTTCATAGAAAATACTAGAAATGGGTCTACTTCCTGGTTACAAAAAACATTGGACGCAATTCCTACCAAACTGGAAGTTGGTGTAGTTTGGACAGACATGGTAGCACGCACTGAGCAAGCCCTCCATCATCAGCGCGGTTCCCATGGCGTAGTAAACCCCGAAATGCTTCGGAATGCCGCACTCCTGCAGAGGAAAGATTACAGGATGCTGCATCATGTAGCTTAGAGCATCAGCAAGCGTGGCTCCTTCTGTGGAACATGGTCTCACCAGCGCGTTGAGGTTGTTGCGATCCAGCGCCCGTTTGTGTGCGACGTCTCTCTTTAGGACGATGAAGAGGAACAGGAGCCCCAGCAACACGTAGCCAAGGTTACTGAGGATATTGTTGAACGCACTGCGCAGACAACAGCCAGGTCAGTTATGGTTAGCGCACTGAAAGCTACACCGAAGGAAACGCACCTCAGAGCACCCAGGGGGTGGGCGCACAGGAAGTTATAGTAGCAGATGTCTTGATTTCCTGTCACGTTGACGACCTGAGGACCAGAGAAGCGTGGTGAATGTTTGGAAGGATGTCGGACAGTGCGCCGCTTTAGCGGCCGCTTGTTCCTCGTCAACGTACCGTCTGATAGGTGATGACCAGCTGGATGACAGGGAGCGCGTAGAACACAGCTATGGTGGCGATGTTCCTGAGGAGAGAACCGCAGTTAGAACAAGATAATTATAATTAATCTCTACATTTGATTATACTATGACTATTTTAGCAGAAGTCACATAAACCAGGCCATAAAACATGCCACAAATGTCAGTTTATACATTTTCCTTCTTAAATCTACACCAAATTCATCATTCATAAGAGGACCTCGTTTTTTTTGTTCATAAAGACTAAAATATTCCAGGTTATTCAATGAGCTGCAACAAGAAATATATGAGGGATCTTAACCCCTAGAACCCTACGGACCCACCGGTGGGTCCAGCTGCTACGTGACCTCGTAATCTTACCAAACCCTCAATATTGATGTAAAAAACATATTTGGCAAAGTTTGGTGACATTTATGGATAAATGAGCCAAAATGGCCCCTCCGCCTAAGAAATTTCTCACTAATACCATTCTAAAATAAATATGATTCATCTGATTGAGTCCAAATTTGGTATATTTTTACACAACATTTAGATTTGAAAGTCTGTACTACTTTTTTGTGCTATAAATAAGATTTTGGTAGTGTTTTGCAATGTTTATTTCAAAGAAAATTTTGGCGAGGTTCAAAAAATGCAAAATATTTTGTATTTTGTCCCTAATATTTCAGGCAGGGTAAAAGCTACAATGGTGCTGACACCAGAAAACCATTCTATGACATCTTACCTTTACAGACGTACCAAAAGTTTCTTCTTAAATCTAATAGCTTTGAGGCTATAAGTTATTTACTTTTGTGTGTTTTTGTCAGGCAGAAATTTATTTATACCCCCTTAGGGTGCAAGAGGTTAAAATGTCCAAAGGTACATAGATGTATCTAAATGCCAAGGGTTTAACTCCTCTCTAGCCACTGAGCAGCGGACTCACCAGAAGTAGATTTGGTACTTCTTGCTGAGAACCCTCTTGTCTTTGCGAGCCAGGTCAGCCACACACAGGTACTTCTGTAAAATGAATCAACAGCAGAGCTAAGAATAATGACATCTGCAATATAATCGCAATTTTTTAAAAATCAAAGGTGATCCGTTTTGGTCAAAAAGGTGATGGCTACAAGTTTAACTCCTCCCAGTCAGCAGGTGGTGCACTCGCTCTTTTTTTGGCCCCCACCTCCTTCAAATCAGACAAAATTAGTTTCAAACATTTGTTCTACGTTAGTGCTGGTTTGTGCAGCAAAAATTTTCGTTTGTGCCGCTATCGTTTTAAAGATATAAAGAAATATTTCTAGAGGTCATCGAAAGGTCAACCCCCCCCCACCTTCTTCAAATCAGACGAAATGGGTGCCAATTAACTTAGCTCCGTTTGTGTAAACATTTTCATTAATATCTTCAAATCCAAAGCAGCAAAAATAAAAAATTTTGCTGCACAAACCAGTACAAACGGAGCTGAGTTAATTGACACCCATTTCGTCTGATCTGAAGAAGGTGGGGGGGCTGGTTGACCTTTGATGACCTCTAGAAATATTTCTTTATATCTTTAAAACGAAAAAGGCACAAACAAAAATTTTTGCTGCACAAACCAGCACAAACTTTTGACACAAATTTTCTCTGATTTGAAGAAGGTGGGGGGGCCAACTTCACTCAGCTAATAGCCGGGTCCGCCCAGGCTAATGGTTAGCATTAGCAAACATTTAACACATCTGTCCAGAAGGAAAGCACCAACCTCCACGTTTTTTTTTCTGAGCCTCTTTGCTCAAAATGTATTTTCCTTATTGGTAAAGTTAATGCTTTTATTCTTCAGGACTCTAGATTTCTCTGGGTGTCTTATCATTGATAAATTTATAGTTTTCACATGAAGCTATGACCTTTAACCTCTTACTGTAACATCCACCTCATTTTGGGAAATCCTCGCCTATTTTGAATACCCGAATGGAAAAGCAAATAACTGAGGAACCAAATTACATGTGTAATACATTGTTTGAAAGCTAACACCATCTTTATATATATATATATATATATATATATATATATATATATATATATATATATAAATACGGAAATTGCGTGAGTAAAACACAGCTTATTTTTTTATTCTCAAAAATAATAGGTAATTTTTGAACAGTAGTAATAAAGCAGAATTTATAAAGGAATGAGTAAGTCTAATATAATGCTTTTTAATGCTATTAGAAATATATTGCGATATAATATATCTGCGAAAATTGTTTTTATAAACTTAAAAAAAAAACCCTTTTAAATACCACAATAATCACATTTAATCTAATTTTAATTAATTAAAAAAAATTATAATTGAATTACTTTTAATGATGACCCACGGAAACCCTGTTAAGACATGCTTGCTTGTTGTTGTTGCTTTGTCGTGTTTACATTTTGACATGCTGCTATATCTGTGTTAATTGTGCTTTGGTGCTCACTGTGTCCATAAAATTAACTCGGTGGTTGAATTGTGGAGAATCTAAGCTTTCCAACTATGTCTAACATGTCTATATTGATAAACATTATACCAGTGTAATTTTCATGCATTCTGAGTTATTAGATGTAAACGCTTTAAAACTCGTTGGCGACCTGGTGGGTTTTGAGAGGTTAATAAGAACAAAACAAAACGACTTTCTCAGAAGCAAATAGAATTGCTGCTAACGCGTAGATCCATGCATGCCAGTAAAGTAATGGCTACAGTAACACGATAAAATTTTGACATGCAGGCTTTAAAGGTCATGAAAACACAGTCCTTTGATTAGTGCCTAGGAAAATCAAATTAAAATCTTAATCATGCTTTTTAGTTCATTTTTACCGCTCTAATTTTCCTCATTTAGATTTAATTCATAGCCTCTGTCAACATCCATTCAATTCTACATCTGGGCTGTAAATATGCTTCCATCCAAATCGTTCTATCTTCCCATCACCTCTGGCCAGCTGAGAACGGCATCCCCCACAGCATTATGCTGCCACCACCTGGCACTATTACTTCCTGTTGATCCTTCAGATTAAGCATCATCAGTGTGGAGGTTTAAATGGATCAGAGAAAAGCCGCGATTTTGAGGCGTACCTTTGTGCGGACGATGTTTTTGTCGGAGTCGATGTCGTCCAGCGTGTCGTAGTCATCCTCCTCCACAGAGCTTAACGACTCCTGCCTGCTCCGTGCAATGCTGTCCAGTGATCGCTCTGATGGGGGAAGGAGAGACTGTTACGCAGATTGGAAAGACGCCATTTTTATGCGAAAGGAAAATGGAAGCACTAATGCCCAAAAGCCTCATAAAATTTTAAAAATGATTTGCAGTGCTACTCTCAATCATTTAATAGTTCATCAGGGTTGCATCACGTCATTAAAATCTGGGCCCATCTCTGAAATTTTAACCATATTTGTGTGTGATTAGCACAGTGCTGATTGGTTGGGACTAAATCTGGGGTCTGATTAGGGAGGGGGACTGTGTGGCAGGGTGTCACCGATGCGGACGGCTACGCCGTGATGGTGACCGAGGAACGGTCGGCGTTTGAAAGGCTCCTTTCCTGATGAGCAAAGACAGAATGGTTGCAGAGAAGCGGACCACTGGCCACAAGGCGGCCTTACAGGGTGACTGATGAGCTAAAGGCGGAGCGCCGGGCTCCGTTTGAGCTCCTACCCAGGTATCCGTAGTTGTTGTCGGTTGATGTGGCGCTGTCAGTGATGGCCTCGGAGCTCAGCGTGCTGCCGTTGTCCGCTGGTAGAAGAAGAAAAAACGTCATTTAAATAACCACTGAGAGATTCAAGGAAGCACATCAGCACTCGACTCACCAAAGGAGCCATACTCGTACGGAAAGGCTGGAATCTTTCCTGTAAATGAAGATAAACATTTAAAAAGCCAGAATAAATCCTACTTTAAAGGCAAACACTAGTACAGCCAATACCGGTTAGTTTTTCCACATCCCTCACCAGTGGAGGCAGCAGGGAGGTTTAGGAGTGCTACAGATACTAATGGAAAAATCCAAGCACCTCAAGGAAAATGTTCATTAATATTTTTGATCAAAGGTAATGTTCTTTGGTTATTGTGTTATTTTCTTCACAAATTGTATGAAGAAAATATTTTGGGAAGGAAATTGTATTTTCTTCACAAACCACATCAGAAAATCGTCAAAAGAAAATTAATTTCTATAAAATGTCAAAATATCATGTGGTGAGACTGTCCAGCTCTAAACTACTGTTCTGTAAAAGTAATCAAAATCCTTTTTCAAAGTATTCATATGTATTTTCTGCCATTTTTGGCATCATCGCAAATTTGATAAATTTGTCCTGTAATAAGAAAGTATTTTTATATCCATCATAATATTCACTGTGGGCTTTCTCAACTGATTTAACAAGAAAATATCAGATAGGGCGAATAATCATGTGTTGCAACCATTGCAGTTTCCATAATAAATATGTCCTTACTTGTCATAATTGTTATCTTATATTTAAATTTTTTCATTGATGTTTTGCTTAATTTCTACACAAGTAAAAATCCTTTTAGGCACGTAATTGATAGGGGTGTGGGAAATAATCGTTTTGGCGATATATCGTGATATTCGGCTGCCCAATATAATATCGACCTTTCACTTCTTAGTATCGATTTAAAAAAAAAATGGTTACATAAAACATTGATAGGAAAATGGACTACCTCTGCACCACCACTCTGGCAGAAAGCGCTGTGGAGCCCTTTAACTGTGCATGCTGCACCAAATCTGTATTTGAGGCAGTCACAGTGGAAGAAAACCCCAAACAACATGGATAATAATACCTAATCAATATTTTCTGATGAAAATATACAACACTTGCTGTTTTATCTCATCATGTGATTTTGATAGCTGGGGAAAATATGGCAATATATAGTGATACTGCAATATCGTGATAATATCGTATCGTGACCCAAGTATCGCGACATGTATCGAATCGCAACACTCATGCCAATACTCACCTCTAGTAATTGAACAAATTATTTAGAAGTTATTCTACATTATTATTAATTTACTTGTTAGTAACCTGACATCTACTTCACCAGATGTCGCTAAGGAATTCACAAATCAAGAAAACACAAAATAAAATGAATTGATGGTAACAGTTTAAATAGTACATTATACTCTATACATTATTCTTAATTTGTTTAATTTTGATGTTGACCTAGTGGGTTTAGAGCAGTGTGCTAGTGCTCTGAGAATGTTGCAAATATCAGGTTCGACCCCCACAGCCTCCACGCTTACAGGGTTTATAGAGGAATGAGTAACTCTAATTTAATGCTTTTATTGCTCTTTTAATGCTCTTAGAAATTATTCTAATGCAACCAACAAGTACCTATGACTCTCATATATATATACACATATATACATATATATATACATATATATATATACACACACATATATATATATATACACATATATATATATACACATATACATATATACACATATACATATATACACATATACATATATACACATATACATATATATATATACATATACATATATATATATATATATATATATATACATATATATATATATATAATCCAGAATTCCTCATTTTCCAGACACTCTTGTTGAAATTTGCCTTTTACTATTCTCTACCTTTTTCTCGGCCTTGAGCTTTTTTTCCGAACATATTCCTTTACGAACAACTGGAAGCAGTTCTTATAATCGTTGTTGTTGTTGTTTTAGTCAAGGCATTTTAAAGCACATTTAATGCCAATTAAGGACTTAATTTAATTTAAAGAATAATAATTAAATTACTTTTAACGATTGTAATGTTTTTTTGTGCATTATAAAAACATCAGAGCAAATGATGCGTCATAGCTCCCTCAGTTCAATGCTCGAACCCATTTAGACCCTCAGAGAAGCTGCCACTGTCGCTCACTACCAACACACCAGTCCCACTGCTGCACTCTATATACAAAACAGGGATATCTAAAAAAAAAAAGAAAAAAAAAAAGAGAGATTGTTGCATAAAATCAGATTATTAAATATTTAAGCTTTTATTTCTGTTAATTTTAATGATTATGAGTCAAAGGTTAAGAAAGATCCTTTAAAAAAGGATGCTTTAAAGCTACAGTGTGTAATTTTCAGCGACATCTAACGTCCAGACTGCAGACCGCAGCAACATGAACATCTCCCCCCCAACAGTACGGCGAGCGTTACGGGACAAAATGTCTTCCACGACGTCCGCATCACCTACCTTCTCAAGTTATGAGGTTTGTTTACATAGATAATTTTAATACTGCCATCTATTGTTCAGTACCGTCTCAGTTCATCTCTCTCAACTTGCCGTAGTTACTTTGGAGCGTAATGGGCGATCTCGCAATCGCTAGTTTGTTGGCTCTGCGCTGCCGTAGCGCAAAGATGTCTGCCTCCATGGCTGCGAGACCCGCTCCTATGTAATTATAAATAACGAATTCTAAGGCAACGCAAATATTAAGGTTAAGAGGCTGAGCTCATAGATGATGATAAATAACATAGTTATGTATAATATATTACATTTCTGACTGTATATCCCTGTAATTATTACACGCTGCAGCTTTAAAACACTTTCAGAGTCCTCACATCTGTATTTTGATTTCTAAGGTGTCGGTTCTTGGTTGGTTGGTAGATGGCAGGAATTCTTACACAATATCCCTTTAAGTTGTTTACAGCCTCCTACAGGTTTTTCCTTCAGGTCTGCTAAAAACTTGTTAGTCCCGTCTGAGCTGCGTACCATGAAGCTTTTAACCTCTCCCCATGTCTGAAGTATGTGCTACACTGTATCAGCCAAATAACATTCATTCGAGAGTCAGAGTTGGAGCAGTAATGTGACAAAAGTAGGGGGGGAAAAAATGAATGAGGGTGAACAGCACAAATGAATATTAAAACAGGGCACTCCACATTTGACAGATGGCATTAAAATGGTAAAGGCAGCAGGAAAACTCAATGAATCTGCAGCAGCATCTTGATAATAAGCATCACATTTAGTTTAGCCATCGGTCAAACTGGTGAAGGTTTGAGCTGCATCTGTTAGGAGGGCTTTTTTTCTACAGAGCTCAGCCAATCAGGCTCTTCCTTTTAACAGAGGATGATTTAACCCCCAGGCAGCTCTGTCCAGTTAAAGTACATTGTCTAAAGCATGCAGACAAGCCAGACAAGTGTGAGAAAAAGCAACGAGTGCAGGAGAAGAGGGAAGGGGTCGCTATACCATCGCCGTTCTTCCAAAGAAGGGAGGCTGGAGCGCATAGGGAGAGAAATCCAAGACACATAATGAGAAAACGCAAACATGTACAAGTCGGTCAACGTGCTATTTAAAGTAATTTATCTTTTATTTAAAAGATTAGGTTCTTTAAAGAAAAAAAAAAGCTTGGTTACCCGTCTCAGCAGGCGACATGTCTGGTTTGTTCTCAAACTTCTCTTTCATTTTCATTCTGCAGAAGAAAAACAATTTAAAAATGATGTTTAAGGTGGATTTATTCATTGCTTGAAGGTTTAAACTCATAGAAATGAAAGTTCATGTTTGAATACAGAGACCATGTCAGATTTGATGAAATCTGACATATTTGATTTTAAATGCACACTGCAAAAAATGTAAAACAAGACATTTTTTCTTAAAATACCGGTAAGTGCATTTCTTCTTGAACTGAGAAGGTTAGTGAGACACTTTGCCTACGGAATTAAACAATCTTCATTTAAAATAAGAAAAAAAAGAACTGCAGTCTCTCATTTCAAGTGCATAATATCTGATTTTCTTAATTTAAGGGTAAAATGCTAATTCCATTGGCAGATCATCTTATTTTCCTACTCAAATTAAGGTTAAATACACTTATTTAAATAATTTTTTCCTAATTTTCAGGAAGTTTTTGCAGTGCAGCTACCTCTCCTGTCTGTCGCATCTTGGAACTAGAAGGTTTGATCTAATGAGACAATTCTTCTAAATAAAACGCATATATTGGAATAAAAACAAAACAACCTTAAAGGGTGTTAAACATACTTTCATTTAGCCGCATGGTAGCTAAAAAAATGCAAACAAGTTTTCAGCTTTTTAATAAAGGTTTGACCAATATGACATTAATGTTTATGTGTTTCCCTGATATGCTTAATATATTTGAATGCTAAAATATGACTAAAGAATAATTTAAAACCCTCGTGTATGCTAGCTACTAGCTCCAGGCTCAGACTGGTAATCTGTGATACCGGGAAGGCCGGTCTAATTTCAGCGTGTGAGGGCCGGCCCCTGCTTAAATCAAACTGGCCCCAACTCTTACTCTCCAGCTCTAGCTCTGTGACAGTAAATAACTCAAGGAGCTCCAGAAGTAATACAATGTTAACTACCTAAATGATGCCTGCAGTATATATAACCCTTCCTTTTCATGCACATCCTTGTGACGGTTGGCATATGGTGTAACTTTCTATTTCTTCAAACTGTTAAATCCTTGCAACAAACTAAATTATAATAAAACAAAAAAAAAATTAAACCAAACCACGATGTTTCTCTTATATTTTATGTTATATAACTTATGTAAGAATATTCTGCAAAAATATGTTGCAGTGCATGATGGGGTTTTGCCTCTAAAGGCTAATCATTCTAATGTGAATGAGCGATGCAAACATAATCCATTGCTTGCTAGCAGTGCTGTCTGGGTGTGTTAAACCGTGTGGATGAAAATGGAATCTGGAATAAATTGCAACTTGCAAAAAATCCCGCGATCAAGACAGCATCAAGGTAGGTCGTTTGGTTTTTAATACTGCCCACCGCGACATGTTGACTTGGGCTCACAGGTTTTGCTTAAGTAGGTTCCACTCATTTGCGCTAAAAGGTGGGGTTCATAGTTCTATGTTGACAGACCTTTAAAAATATATTCCTCTAAAAAATGGTATACTCATAACTGTGTGTCCGTGCTCATCGTGTTTTGCTTTTTTCTTTCTTTCGTGTTTTGCTTTTTTCAATGCAAGATGAAAGAGTTGCGTGATACTTGCAACCTAGTGTAAAGGCTTTGGAAGGCATTCAATTGACTGACGGCTGTGTGTCAAGGCAGGGGTTGACGATAAGGATTTTTACCACTTGCCCAAAGGGCAAGTGACTTTCACATTTCAATTGCCCATAAACAATTTTTAATTGCCCAGTATAATGTTTGATAAATATAGTTCCTATTGATTGATTTTTGTATATATATCAATGAAACATGTTGCTTTTTTTAAATGTTTTTTTGTAATTCAGTAAGTTTCCAGGTTCCTGGTGTGTATATGCATGCGTCAGATAATGAACTCAAGCCTACATTACCGTGTTAACATGCCTTTCAATCCTTCCTGCACATTCTTTTCAAACTAAACTTTGCTTTAAACTGTTGTGTGCTTGGAAAAATATAAATTGTAATGTTAAAAATCTAAAAAAAAACTTGACAGGTTAAAAACTTACACTACTACTACTCACCAATTTAACATGTTTAGCTCTATAACATTTAAATGCACCTCTCCAATGTCTAAGAGAAAACATTTTTTAACGTATGACCACTGTACAGAAGACTGTCATATGATAGAAATATTTACACTGTGCGCATACAATCATTATTATTATTATTTTTCTAATCCCTGACTGATCATTTTTAATCTAGCTTGTATTATAGTATAGATTAAATTCATCATCCAGCTGCTGCTCTGCAGATTTCTCTCCCCAAGAGCTGAATCACGCCATCTAGCGGAAAATCACGCGGCTTTTCACAAATCACGCGAGAATGTGTACAAAACAACAAAAATGGGGCCGGAAACGCTTGTGGGTCATTTTCAGCGAATGTCGGTGATTTTAAAGTAATTTTGAGTGATAAATATTTTTTTTTTTGTGATCATTGCACTCGCCCGGCGGGCAAATGCAATGAAATTTGTACTCTCCCGACAATAAAAACTACTTGCCCCGGGCGATGGTTAACATCGAGCCCTGCAAGGTGTGCAATTCACCACCTTACCACTACTACTCTTAATAGTAGTAGTATCAGTAGGACTGCTGGTTTAGTTGATTTCAGTCTGCTGAATGATGGAAACATGGTGTTAACATTACTCCATTTCATTGCCTACATGCCACCTAGACTCGCAGTAAATGCTTACATACTTTCATGTATTCATTCTTGAAGAACTGCCTGTCTGCCTCTATATTGTATAGTTTTATGTTGGTGTTTTTACAACACTTGGGCGAGATCGGTTAATCCACAATGTGTATTCATATTGTGTTTCACATTTGAGACGCACACATTTGACTGTTATTTAAAATCTCAATTCAACCCATTTCACACTATAGCATAAACTTACGTTTCCAAAGATAAAACTAATTATAAGCTGAGATACCTTTGCATAACTTTGCTGATAATGATGTCAACCATTTTTATTTGCCTTTATTTTAGTTCCACTAGGTTAGTCAAGAAATGGCAAACTAAAAAATGTTTGGTCTGAAGTTTAACAATTTTTGTTAATAAAACCTTATATTTTCAATAGAAGTTATTGTGGATTTATTCCATATTTATGCTAAATTAACAATGATTTAAGCTCTACTCGCTTTCATTTGATTTCATGACACACAGCCAGATGGGCGTATTCACAGAAAAATAGATTACACTTTGAAAATGATCTGATTAGGTAAAGTCAGAAGATTAATCAATTGCACAACACCTGAAACCAAAGATTACTGGATACATAAACACTAGTGATGAACATCCAAAAGAGCGCATTAGATAAAAACAAATAACCTTTCTTTTAAAAATGTGTAGGAACATGTTTAACATGAGATTATAGCAAAATGGGAAGAAAACCAAGATAGAACAGCTGTTTGACTTTCTGCTAGACTGTCTCTCACCGGGACAAGGACACCAATTAAGCCTTGAAATGTTTTCAGTAACGTCACTTAGTACCGCTACTATAAAATGACCTCTTCGGACTGAGGTAAATGAAACCCTTCTGTTGCAATTTTTAACCTTAATAAAAGCGAGCGCTTTTATAGCGTTTCTAACCAATAACTCAGAATGCATGAAAATTACAACGGTAATATTTATACCAACGACGCACAGAGTAGAGCGATATTACGCCTCATGAAGTCCTGCTGTTATTGGTTAACAGCAGGACTCTACTGTTTACTGTTTGCATTTGCATGGCTGGGGTGCATAAAGCAGAGCTGTGTTACCGGCCTGCGTAAGAGTGAAACACACTGCAGAGGCTGGATCAATGCACGCAGCTCCAAGCTGAATACTAACAACGGTCTAATATTTTTAAAGTTTAGATACTGATTTAGTTTTATTACACTGCCTTAGGCTGGAAAAATAACAAAAAACAACAAATAAAAAATTGGCTCAGAAAAGGCACTGGGGCTTATTTTAACTTGAGCAGCATTTCACTATTTTTCACTGTTATTTTAGGTTTATAAACTCTACATTTTGTTATATACACTGATTCTGAAAAAAGTGGAAAAATAGTTGCTTCATAAATGCTCCATGGCCATCAAAATGCTTCATTGTTATTCTATGGGTCAAATACTTGAGTAGAAGGGTTTGGCACAATTTGGCACATTTAGAGAGGTTTGGAGATGCTGGTGACACCAAAAGTTCAAAGTCCAACAGCTCTGGAACTGTTGTAGCTAGAGGCCTGAAATTTTCTGCATTTGTGCTTGACATGATGTAGAACAAATGTAATACAATAAGACATGCCTATTCTTAAGCATGTCTTTATTATTGGTGTTCAAAAAAGACCTACTTTTTTCAACAATTAAAAAAAACAGCAACTTTGAGTCATGTTTGAACTGGTACAGCCTAGGCTGCGTCTTACCCAATTTTTTTTATATTTTCAGAAACTAGAAGGCGTTGGCTTACAAATGATGTATCATACATGTAATTTGGGCTTAGAGTTCCTCAGTTATTTGCTTTTCCATTTGGGTATGGGTGGGTGAAAGGAGGTTTAAATCGAAGCTGAAATATAAAGGTAATTCTCTGTGTTTGATCTCTAAATAGTCATCAAGCAAGTTTCATCTAACTGGTGTTTTGGGAGCTGGAAATACTGAGAAGTATTACCGCTTGTTTTCCACGCAGGTGACCAGCAGCGTCAACACATAGAACGAGAGGAAGATCCCGCTACAAAACAACACCCCCATCCAGTACTTCTCAGCTGGGGAGAAAAAAAAACATACAAAAAACTCAATATTTTTTCAAACAGTAAGAAGATATGGATCAGGTGTCCAGTTTATACACAGCTTACAATCAATTGCAGGTGAGACGACCACGTCGAGGTCCTTGGTGCGGTTTCCAGCGTCAATCAGCTCATCTGGGCGCAGAGGGTAGAAGCGCAGCGGGCCGCCACAAGCCTCGTCCTCAGTTTTTACCACCACCACCACGTAGAAACTGTTGCTAGGGAAATCCTTCTTCTGGAGTTACAGAAAGAGGCGCTATGAGGTATGGGGCATTTAACCTCATTCTGCCAGGTTAAAAAGAAGGTACCTGCACAGTGATGGCGCCCTTCTTGGTCATAGTCTGGTACATCCCAATAAAGGCCACGTTGTTGTCAAGGTCATAGACGGGGCACTGTAAGCAGAGAAGAAGAAACAATGATTTGTTCATTTCAGACTAAGACACACCATGCAAAAAACAAAGTGAAACTTAAAATCTAAATAAAAGAAAATAATTTAAAGAGAAATAAAAATATTTTCCCTTTTTAATTTCAGCATTAAACTAAAGTTAACTTCATAAAGTGCCAATATGATCACCTCTAGTGGCCTATATGTGTCTAAGTAGCTAAAAAAACAACAACACAGCTTTAACTCTACCTGGATGTCCTGAACAGACATGACGGAGCAGGGGAAGTTCACGTCTGAGTTGACTTTGACGATGACGGTATCCACCCCCTCCGGAAAGACATATTTAAAAAACTGAGGGGAAAACAGGGAATAATGAGAGGGCGGCCTAGTAAAAGAACTCTGTTATCACTTAATCTTTAGCGCCATTTACACTACCCTTAAAAAACCGATCCATGCCGAGACCGGTCCGAGCTCGGATCAGTTAACCAGGCCGAGCTCGGTTCTGACGTCCGTTTACACATCACGCCATCTCGGTTCCTCGACTATTACTGCCAGTATTGAAGGAGGAAATCAAGCAGTTGGTGGCGGTAATGCACCAAAAGTTGTTTGCCAACCGCCATAAAACACAAGAAGACGAAGAAGGAGGGAATCAAGCAAATCAAAATGGCGGCGCCCCGTCACATTCAGAGAGTTATGCTTGATTATTATTGCTGTATTTTTAAAATCCCATTATTTAAAATGTTGTGTGGAGAAAATTTCGATTGTTGTTTATAGTTGAAGAAGTTGTTCTTCTTCTTTTGTTTCTGGAGGGGCATTACCGGCAACTACTGGAATGGAGTGTGAATCGCGATGTGCAGCCAGACGGAGATGACGCGTTCTGCTCATGCGCTCTTGTTATCAGAGAACCGAGCCAGGGAAAAACCGAGCCGAGTCCACCTCTGGAACTGGTCTGCAGTTAGCTCGGTTCGGTTGTGTCTAGCTCGGTTCGGTTCAGTTTGCTTTCCATTTACACACGATAAGTTATCTCAGTTACTGAGCTCGGACCGGTCTCGGCACGGTTTTCAAGGGTAGTGTAAATGTAGTATATGAGCCATAGCTTGAGTCACATTGATCAGAATTTAAAATGTTGGACAAATAAACTATCCCCACTTCAAAGAACTCATTCAGCCGAGTCAGCTGGAAAGCCTCCATTATTGGCTTCAATCTGAAAATCAACCTTCCACATCCAGGGGTTTTTATAACAAATATAGGAGACTTTCAAAGTAACATCATACTAAGATGCTTAAAAAAAATAAATAAAAAATTATTTTTACAAGGTAGCAGATTTTTTTTTAAGATTAAATAATTCTGTCTCGAAAGGTTTCAGCACCTCCATAAACCCTGATCAAAATGGCCGATTTGAATGTAACGGTAATAGCGAAATGACAACTTCCTTGGGTAAAAATGTTGCTAGCTGCTATTAGCTTGGTTTGCTAATGCTCTGCTTAGTCAGAATATAAATCAGAAATTTAGATATAGATTTTCTATATTAGAACTGGAAAATTGTGAAGGTAATTCTTAAATCTTTCCCTGAGTTCTGACTTTAAAAGTAAAATAATTACAATAACAGAATCCTCGGTTTCTGGTTGAAAATCTTTTTTTCCCCCCCACAGTTGGAAAAATCACAGCACCTGTTCCTTTAACCCATCCCATTGGGGTCTGTAGGCTGTAGATGCAGACTTTCTGGCTACGTTCACACTGCAATGTATGTGATCTCTTGTGTAAACAGCATTCATACAACCCAGGTGTCCCACCTGCACAGCAGAGAACGTAATGACGTCACAAGCCAGCGTGCTTCGTGTTTACGGAAGTAAACATGGATGTAGTGCTGGAGCGCATCTAGCGATCTTTCTAAACCCTTAACCTCAATCTTTTCAAGATGGTAAAAAAAAAAACTGCTCTCTGCATCATCGTCCGCCATGATGTTTGTTTTTCTTGCTGCACAGAAGAATAGAGAATAGTGACCTATGTCGGTTACTAAAGGCGTTAAGGTCGGATGAATGGGACCTGGCCATTCAGACACATGTCAAATTTGAAAACATCAGATTCGTATCGGATCCAGGACCACATTGCTAAGTGGCCTGGGTTGGATTGGAAAAAAATCGGATCTGTGTTGTTCAGACAGCCATGAAAAGATCAGATCCAGGTCGCATAAAAAAAAAAAAATCTGATTTGGGTCACTTCAGGTTGCGGTGTGAACGTAGCCAGAGTCCTGATCTGATCTGAAGCTGTTTCCTATTCATGTATGACATTCCTTCCAAATGGCACGTGAACATTTCAGCCCCCGCCGTTCCTCAGACCTGAGTATAGGTTAATAAATTAGTCAACAACTCATATTGCAGCTTTTGTTAAAGTTTAGAGGAAGAGCTAAAGGTTGCAGTTAGGTTCAGAGGTTTACGCTGACTGCAAATAAGACCCAACAGACCAGAACAAAACTGAGGGACAAACATCTGCAACCTCACATCTTTCTCACTATTAAGATGTATTACCTTTATATTAAAATCTCTGTTCCCGACATTGTTTAATTTATTAATCTTTATTTCATTTTTTCTTTGTGTGTCAACCAACGCTATAAATAACACCTTGCTTAAGAGTACAAGAACGCTGCGATTACTCCTCTGAGCCAAACTAAGTACTCCCAGGGGGGTTAAAGTCAACCCGCCTCCGTTTGTTCCCCCGACTCTCCAAGCGTGCCCACCGTCATCTGATCAGCTAAAGGTCAGCTTTGGGGGTCGAGAGATTGATGTAGTGGTGATGTTTAATTTATGTAACCATAGACTAAGAGAAAAAGTGTGAGATCATCTAAACTTTGAACATTTGAATCTGTCCAATATGACAGTTTTGAAAGGAAGATAAGGAGAGAATAATGAAGCAGATGTTTAAACCCCACCGCCTGTGGTTCTGCTCTGCTGGTTCCATTTCTATAACTAGAGAGTCAGAGTCTGTCCCTCAGGAATTTTCACAAGCAACTTGACTGTTTTTATGGCTTAAACACTTTGAAAAGATGCTTTTTGATAAAGTTTAATTGCTAAATGTATTATTGATCGTCACTGAGGCTGTTTTTTTAAAGATCATTTTACTGCTAATCCTGATAAAATGCATCAATTTTTTTTATTTATTTATTTTATTTTATTTTATTTTTTTTAGGTATTGGCTTTCAGCTGCTTTGAGAACTAACTATTCTAATATTAAATCATTATAAGGCACGATTCCCCCTAGGGCACCCCCTAGGGGAGATTCAGTGTATTGCAGGGGTGGCATGATTAAAACGTAATTGAAAAAATATGATTTTTAGAAGCAAATAAATAAAAGCATTGTTTAATTTGGTTAGACAGTAAAATAAAAATATAAATAGGACTATAATTGAACTTTGAAAGCAGTATTTCTTTTATTTAAAAGAGATTGTAGTTTATTTTATAGCAAGATATATTTAGCAGTTTAATTGTGTAACAGATTTGGGGCTTAAATAGCAAAAATCAAGAACTGCTTTAATAAATATATATTCTGATAAACTCCAATAATATCACTTATTTTCAAAACTCGTCTAAAAACCTTTTTTATCGTTTGGCTTTTAAAACAGCATGAAGCTTTCTGTTTTTGCATTTGTGGTTTGTTTTATTGGTTTTTATATGGTTTTAATTTATTTATTTTCTTTCTTTAAATTCTATGTTATAACTTTACCTGATATGTAGAGCACGTTGGGGCACCTGTGGTTGTTTTAAGGGGCTTTATAAATAAAGTTGAGTTAAACAATGAAAGCGGTCTGATAGTTTAGGATTAGTAGTTTATAAATGCATAGAGGATGGAGTACTTATTGTGAAACGTCATGATGCTTCACCTTTTTCGAACAAAGTAGCCATAAGGGGACAAACTTGTCACCCTTGCGAGATTTATCAGTATCTGTAAATGTGTTGTTGTTGCAGAAGTTTAAGAAAAGCAAAGAAAAACATAGATCATTGTGCCTTCTGTCACAATGAGGACTATCTGTACTCTTGTTCAGTTAAAAACAAGAGAAACAAACCAAAAAGAAAGAAAAAGAAGTAATAACCTTTAGACCTTTAAACCTTTAAACGAGAGTCCACAGCGGTTTTATCAGGTGGAGACACTACCACACTGGAAAAACGATCTAGAAATAAGTGAACATTTCTTAAATTAACTGTATTTACCGTATTTTCACGACCATAAGGCGCACCGTACTAAAAGGCGCAGTCTCAGTTATGTGTCCCATTTCTGTATTTAACACACACATAAGGCGCACCGGACTATAGGGCGCATTTTTTATATACAGGTACATGTCCTCTACTACCTTTAAATAGCTCTACTGCGTATTTTAAAAATACAGCGGGCCCAAAACTGAGTATGACTGTGCTTTATTCATGTATTTATTACAAAGTATTAATCAAACCTGCGAGCTGGCCATGAGACAGACACATCGCAGATGACACAGCGCTGTGATTACTCCTAAATTAACTTAAAATCCTGAAACCTGCCGACGGAATATGTTCGCTTTTATTGCCTGTATCCTGGTGCCTGCACTGTAAATTATTTAGATGAAAAACACCTGCCAGCCGCCGCGGTGAGGCTGCTGTTGAAGGGATTTCTACTGTCGGTGCACCGCTGGTATGTGGGAGTCTGAGCGCCTCCGACAGAAATAGATAATCTGGATGAACTGACTGCAATTAAGTTTTCAGGTGGCCTTTCTCACTTAAAAACATATTAAAACTACTTTATTCCCCCTGATCACAGCAAATATAGCTGCAAGATTTAGATTATTTAGATGAAAAACACCTGCCAGCCGCCGCGGTGAGGCTGCTGTTGGAGGGATTTCTACTGTCGGTGCACCGCTGGTATGTGGGAGTCTGAGCGCCTCCGACAGAAATAGATAATCTGGATGAACTGACTGCAATTAAGTTTTCAGGTGGCCTTTCTCACTTAAAAACATATTAAAACTACTTTATTCCCCCTGATCACAGCAAATATAGCTGCAAGATTTAGATTATTTAGATGAAAAAACACCTGCCAGCCGCCGCGGTGAAGAGGAGGAGACCCGCCCAGAGGCTGCTGTTGAATTAAGTTTTCAGGTAGAAAAATAGAGCGGGAGCAAAACTGAGTATGTTTCTGCTTTATTCATGTATTTATTACAAAGTATTAATCAAACCCATCAAAGTCATCATCCTCTGTTTCTGAATTAAACAGCTGCGCTAAATCAGACATGCCAGTTTCCCATTCTTCGCTGTCAGTCACTTTCCGTGCAGCGCGGCTCCTCAGAAATAATGCCTGCTTTTGCGAAAGCTTGAACAACAGAGCCAGCAGACACGTTAGTCCAAGCATCAACAATCCATCCGCAAACGGTGGCGTAACTCGCCCGGCGCTCCCTTCCACTTATCCTGAAACTGTGGTCTCCGTCTGTCATCCATCGCTCCCACGCCGCTCGCAGCCTTACTTTGAACGGCTGCTTCACACCGATGTCGAGCGGTTGAAGTTCCTTTGTCAGACCCCCCGTGATAACGGCGAGCACAGCGTTCATTTGATTCACCTTTTTTTCACATCGGCTGTGAGATGGGCACGCAGCGATGGTGATGCGTGGAAAAAAGCACCTGGTCTCCTCACATACACCTGCCTTTCATCATCTTCTCATCCATCCAGCCTTTTTCATTTGCGTTAATATCATGTCATCAGAGCGCTGTGTCTGTCTCGCTGTCAGCTCCCAGATCAGCTTCTCTGATTGGTTGATGCGGCGCGTCCAGCAGCAAAACTTCAATTTTTCCATCTCGAGCAGCAGCAGCGCGTTGGCGGTGCGTCAGATGCTTAAACGCTCCCGACGTGCTGCACCTGCAGCTCAAAACGCGCTGCGGGACCTTTTGCTGCGCCTATACGCGCGTCAACCATTGACTTTGCATGTAAACTCGCTGCTTTTGCTGCACCTGCTGGGTCCGGTTCACACCGATGTCGAGCGGTTGAACAGCGAGCACAGCCTTAATTTGTTTCCCCATGTTTTTCACATCAGCTGTGAGATAGGCACGCATGGAGTTACATATTAACAGCGATGGTGATGAGTGGAAAAAAAAACACCTGGTCTCCTTACATTCAGCCACTCTTTCATCATCTCCTCAATGAGGTGGTCTCAAAAGTCGCAGTTACAACACACATAAGGCGCACCGCACCATAGGACGCACCGCACATTTTGAGGGGAAAAAAAGACGTTTAAGTGCGTCTTATAGTCGTGAAAATACGGCACCTTTAATTTGAGTAGGTAAATGAGATAGTTTGCCAAAGGAATGAGCATTTTTATTCTTACAATAAGATAATTAGATAATATGACTTATAATAAGACAATGTAATTGTGTTTCCTTATTTTAAGTGTAAATTGTCTTGTTCCATTGGCAAGATGTCTCTTTAACCACCTAAGTCCAAGAAAAAATGCACTAATTTTAAGAAAAAATGACTTCTAGATTTCGATTTTTTTCCAGTGCAGGGAGTGGAGCTTAAAAACATGGAGGTTACAGGCTTTCTGCAGGACAGGAAAGGTAATTTGATTTAACAGTGAGGCTTAATTAGGTGTTCTGTTAGAAACAGGACAGTGTAGTCCAGCAACTAGTCTTTCCCCTGGCAGAGATGGCTTATTTGTTTGTTTCCTACACTGGATGAGCTCAATTACAGCAGTTATCAGCTGCTATCATTTTGCATAGGAGTCAGACAGCTGACGAGCGTTTTAGGTGTTTTAGGAGAAATGTTTCATGTTTTATCATCCATTTCAGCTGATTTGACAATGCTGAAAGAGGCTACTGTGTTTCCTCAGTGCAGGAAAAGTAGAATGTCACTCCTCAGCTTCCGTAGTGGGTGTAACACTCTGGTGCACCACTAGATGGGGGTAAACCATACACACTGTTCCTTTAAAAAAGGTTGGTAGGGTATAAAGGGCTGGTTTTACTCCCCACAGCAGTGTGTCGCAGTGAGCTTGTTGCAGATATTTTTGTTTTATGCTCAATATTGAAGCGTGGTCTGCGCTATACGCTGTGGGTCTAGATACGGCCGAGGCGGTGAGGAAGCGGGGACAAGTCTCTCTGACAACGAAGGGACATGAGAGGGAAAAAGAGCGGAGATCCAGGCAGAAAAAGGGCCCCAGCGTTCTTGTGCACCTCGCTCTTCTAGCTAGTCCAACTTCACAAGTGGTTTTCCGCAATTGCAGTCATAAAAACAAAACAAGCCAGTCTCCTGTCTGCGGTCACATACAATTTGGGAGAGGTGCAGCAGAGTGTCTGCAGAGGGGACGTCTTTTTGTTCACTGCGACACCTATGCAGACAACCTAGTTTCGAAATATAAATCAGCCTTTAGGGGGTGCAAAAACATTTTAATAAAACCAAAGGAAGCCCAGCGAGAAAAGTCTGAGAACAATTAAGGTCATAAATCTAACTTTTCATATGTTTTTTTTCTTGTTTGCAGAAAGTTGGAAAAATTCAGAAAAGAAGATAGAAAGAAAATATTCTTTGACATTTTTTTTGCATTACGTAAAATGGGAAAATCATTTCACTGCAACTTCCCTGTCTGGAATATACAGCTACCTCTTTTTTTTTTTTTTTTTATAGTCCTACAGATATTTCTAAGACTACAGTAAATATCACTTTGTAGAGTGACACCCTAACCTTAAACAAAAAGCGTAGAATCCAGCTGGGTTACCTGAGGTTGAGAAGGTGATGCTGTGAAGCTGAATTTCTTGTCTGTCCTGTAATTGAGTTAAATATAGTATGTCAGACATTCCAGAAACTTTCTGCTGACATTGACAGTCAAATAAAGGAAGATCTATAAAGGCAAATGCTACTGTTAATTGTTTATTATCATATTACTCACTGCAGGGTGAAACTCTCCACACGGCTCACTCTGAGCTGGTAGTTTGTCCCCTGGCTGGAGAGGGTGGACACGTCGACGAAAAAATACTGAGTCTCTGACGCAGCCAGTGTTGGAGGCTGACATAAAGTTCGGCCCACGTGTTTGTAGGGATACTTCCTCTGATATCTGGAGGGCAAGACACAGAGAGACATGTGCTGATAAGCTCAGAGAAAGAAAAAAATAAACATCTCTACCTGCTGCTCTAATCAGCAGGACTATGAGTTAGGAGAGGGTGATGCTTTCTAACTATGCATCTGTTTTACAGTAGAATGAAGAAAAAACTGTTGATCAAAGCAAATTCCATATGCGACATACAGAAGGCCTCGTACAAAGTGATGACAGAGAAAAGAATTGATTAAAAAGCAGCTCATTTACTGGAAGAGCAGTTCCTAGCCTCTGCTCCGGTGGACCTCAGAGGAGGAACCGAAAGTTCAAGGTTCATCCAAGAGCTGCTGATACATGCCGGGTCCATGTGGACACAACAGCAGAACTTACAGCAAGGTCATTCTGATGTTGCACAAGCAGAAGACACGGGACAAAAAGATCACATAAGGAAACTACACAGGGGAAGCAGAATAATTACTGAACCTAGAAAACACATCAAGTTCCCCTTGCTGAAGAGAAATGACAGCAGTGCCACAGCTGCAGTTTATTTCACAAGTTCTTTGCGAGGGGCCAAATTGTTGTAAGTTTGCGAAGTTATAGGAACACAGAAATATAACAAATATATTTCTTAAGTTTACCTCAACATGAAGCAATTCTGTTAAGAAAAATCTAACATTTTTGTTCCATGTAAAAAATGCAGAATATCTAAAACTTTTCTATCTTCACACCGAAACATGATGGCAGCAACAATTCAAATCAATTCAGAAATACTTGATTATTATTATTCCCCCATATCACGTTCATCATCATCCCAGCTGGAGAGAATGAGCTGCCAGTGTGGGTCGTTAGGCAAGAGCATTCACACTAACGCCTGCTTTGGGGAGTGGCGGCCAAGTGGTTAGGACGTAGGCATAAAATCCTGAGGTTCTGAGTTCGAGCCCCACTCCCACAGACTGACAGTCTGGGTCCCTGAGCAAGACCCTTAACCCCACACTGCTCCCTGGGCGCCCCACGATGGCAGCCCACTGCTCCGCAAGGGGATGGGTTAAATGCAGAGCTTTCATTTCGTTGCTCTGTTCTTGCGACAGTGTAATCACAATAAAACGCTGGGGAATATTGTTTTTTTTTGCAAGGCTGCTTTTCTCCAGCAAAAACATCAGATATGATCAGGGTTGGTAGAATGACCTTCCAGCAGGACATGAAAACTAAATAAAGCCAGATTTACCATTAATCAATTTAGATCAAAGTCATAGGTATGGGTGACCCCATCAGGAGACCTCAATCCTAGTGAAACCACTTAATACTTCTGCAAAACAAGGCTCTAAAGGAGAATTCTGCAACTTTTAAAATCCAAAGAGCCTTTTTGCTAAGTCTGGAATTAAAATAAGTTGTTGAAAGCGACACTAATTACATCACTACACAGTAAAAAAAAAACAAAATATTTCTATCTAATATATGTGCTGTAGAACATCTGTTGCCATTTAAACAACCTATAATTATCTACCTTTTTAGGTTTTTAAAAAAAGGTAAAACATAGTATGTTTCATTTAAAGGGAGAATTTTTTAAAGGATTTTTTTATGTGTTAAAAACTTTTTACAAGCTTATAAGAGAAAAAAAAAAACTATATTTAAAACCACTATTAAGAGCCATTCTAAAGGGTCAAAAGTGCCACTTGTGAATCCAGAGCCGCAGGTTGCAGACACCTGCTCTACAGGTAAACATTAGTAGCAGGTAAATTGCTTCATCACATGACCTGAGGCCATAACTGTTAACTTTATAGAGAGGACCAACCCGGAACTCTCCATCTGTACCGGATCAGATCAGCTGATAACTCCAGAGTTTCTTTATTAGATTTTGTCCAGGTGAAAAAGGAAAATCTAATGATCTCCCAGGCACTGGCGTAACTTTCTGAAGTACAGGTGTGGACATGTCCTCAACAACTTTGGCATGGAGGGGACATTCCCCACCAATAATTTCTGCTTTCTTTCCCCTTTCCATTAATTTACTTTAGCCAACAGTAGCTGGGGTTGGGTGCAGCTAACTGTGTTCAGAGCGTTTTCTGTCTGTGTTTTTTCCTCTGTCTCCCACTGCTCTCGAGTCCAACTATTATCAGATCTGTCGCTTTGGGACATAATATCATTTGGGGTCGCTATTCACTGCTACATAGTAGCTATGTGGAAGAGAAGAGACACAGCAGCACTCAGTGAATTTTAACTGGCAGCTACTTCGACATGTTTCAGTAAACGTTAGGAGACGAGATGGTTAAAAAAAATTAGAGCTGCCACTGAAAAATCAGTTAATTACACATACGGTGCTTTTTCAGTTAAAAATGGCAACAGAGTGTACATTTATATAAGTTTATAAAGCTGGGCTTCTCAGAGGACCATTACTCAGAGTTACAGATTAAAATGAACACAGATCTGTTGTTTTCTTATTGAACAGAGAATCAGACTGCAGAGCTTCTAGATATCTGGAAAACTTTTTTTAAGGCCTAGTAAACCAGCTACAGAAGACGATTAGGGCCACTGAAAAAATTAAAAAAGTTAACTGATTTTTAAAAATGTTTCTGTATAATATAAGAAAAAAGTCAGGATTCTGAAAGCTAGTAAACATGTTAGCATCAAGCTGTAGCCATGTCTGTTTTAGAGACTAAAGTAACTCTTGTTTTAATCACCTTCTGCTCTTCCATTAAAGAAATAGCATCACAAGGGACGCCTCGGGCACGTAAAAAGTTGCCTAATTCCATCATTTTCCACCAATGTGTTACTGGACCTCCCAAACAACTCACATCTTTGTCAGTGAAGCTGAGCGCTCCCACATCTATTCCTTCATGGTGCCCATCTAGATTAAGATCCAACATTCTGAGATTAAAACCAGAATTGTGAGATTAAAGCCAGAATTGTGAGATTAAAGCCAGAATTGTGAGATTAAAGCCAGAATTGTGAGTTTAAAGCCAGAATTCTGAGTTTAAAGACAGAATTCTGAGATTAAAGACAGAATTGTTAAACTGAAATTTTATTTAAAAATCAGTTAACTTACTTTTTTCTTTTTTTTTTCAGTGGCCCTAATCCTCTTCTGTAACTATTCAAAATCCTTTTTGCCTTCGAGTTTAAATTACACATTTAATCTCACATTTAGTCTGGTTTATCAGGCTAATATTTGAGCTCATTTTGGGAAAATATAAACCCTACTGAAAGGGTTGGGATTGAGTAGCTGTAGGTCCATCAGCCTCCACCCTTAGAGCTTCCCCACCAACTTTTATCACACAGTTACACCCTCAGGTAACAATGGAGGGGAGGGGGGGACTCACAGGCCTCTCAGGATGAGGGGGAGCTGGAAAGACATCACGGCTTGTTTCTGCCGAACAACAAACAGAATCGGACTCTCCAGATGCTGCTGCATCACATCCACGGTCACACGAACCCCCTCTGTCTGAAAAATAAAATAAAATCACAGAAAGTAAACATTAATCATCACTTGAGAGAAGATATTATGCTACAAATAGGCAAAAATCACCTTATTCCTGGAGATGGTGTGGTTGAAGGAATAGATAGTCTGGTTTACACTTGTAACCGTGTCATTATAAGTCATGTCAAACTCTGCCTCCTTTTGGACCACGGATTTAACTTCTCCCACCGCCCCAGCGCCGCAGACCAGCTGGATCACCCCGAACCAGAACACAGCCACCAGCCCTGGTCGCATCCAGCCAGGAGAACAGCTGCCTTTAAGCCGACATTTCCAGTAGCTCCTTAACACCATTTTTCGCCCGACGGCCGTCTTTGTGACCCGAGGACTAAGCTTATTAGATCCCGTATTAGCTAACAAAGAAAGAACTCCATTAAGAAGCGGTTAAAATTAGATGTTTAGCTAAACTGGGCCACCTCCGCGGAGACAAAGAGCAGCAACAGCAGCTATTCGACAAAAATAAACACTCTGCTCGGTGTCCTAACTCTCTACGGACGACTTCTGAGTTCGTACGGCATCAAAACAGCGTCCGGGGAGCGACTATGAAGACAGAAACACGAAATTTGAGAGGGTGACGGTACAATGACCCCCCCCCCTTCCCCTGTCAAGGGAGGCGCGTGCTAACTGCTTTACAAGTTAAGACGGCAAAGGTAGATTAATCCGCGGGTCAGAGCGGCGCATTAAACCCTTCTAGTTCTGCACACGTCCGCATCTACGCTGAAAGACGCGACTACCAGGTGAAAATCATTCCCATCTCCTCTATGTTTACACTCCGCACAATATGTGGCTCCAGCGCCCCCCCGCACACAAAAACAAAACAAACGCCACGCGACGTGATTACGTCACACGTCAACGTGGTGGAAAATGATTGATAAATACAAGCAAATGTATTTAACTAGAATGTAAAATGATAAAGTGAACCTAGGTTTACAAAAAAATAAAATAAAATTATAAAAATTGAATAAAAGTAATGGAAGAGGATTAGAGCCACTGAAAAAATAAAAAAAGGTAACTGATTTTAAAATATTTCAGTTTAACATGGGGAAAAAAATCATAATTCTGACTTTTCTTAGAATTCTGACTTTAATCTCAGGAATTCAATTAAATTCAGCGCCAATTACAACACCTGGTATCTCAAGGCATTTTGTAGAGAAAATTCAACCAGATCATGCGGTCAAATTGATTTAAAGTTTTCTATCTAAGGAAAACCAGTTGATTGCATCAATTTATTGACTCAAAAGCAAACCCTCACACCAAGCACACTTGTAGCGACAGTGGAGAGGAAAATCTCCCTATTAACAGGAAGAAACCTCCAGCAGAACCAGGCTCAGTGTGAGCGGCCATCTGCCGAGGCTGACTGGGGTTCAAGGAGACGGTAGCAGAGATACAAAAAGCAGCTGTAAAAGGCGGCTCTGTCCAGGAAACACACAGCCAAGCAGACGAGCTCCGAGCCAGCTCCCATGTCAGAGGATGAAGAGAACACATCCAGCCAGTCACAGTCAGAGAAACAGGACTACACTGGAAAAACAGGCCGATCTCCAACAACTATAACCAAAGGTGTTGATGGCAGCAGCACAGCTGATATTTCTCTCAAGGATGGTGTCACAGCCAAACAGGAACAGACGAGGCAGAAATCTGACTTTAATCTCAGAATTCTGACTTTGTCCTCAGAATTCTAATTTTTTTTCTTAGAATTATTACTTTAATCTCATAATTCTGACTTTTTTCTTAGAATTATTACTTTAATCCTAAAAAATCTGACTGTAATCTCAGAATTCCGGCTTTTTTCTCATAATTCTGACTTTAATCTAGAAGTTCTGACTTTAATCTCAGAATTCTGACTTTTTTCTCAGAATTCTGACGTTTTTCTTAGAATTCTGACTTTAATCTCAGAATTCCATCTTTTTTCTCATAATTCTGACTTTAATCTTGGAGTTCTGATTTTACTCTCGGAATTCTGAGTTTTTATCAGAAATCTGACTTTTTCTTAGAATTCTGACTTTAATTTCAGAATTCTGACTTTTTTCTCAAAATTCTGACTTTTTTCTCAGAGTTCTAACTTTAATCTCAGAATTCTGACGTTTTTTCTCAGAATTCTGACTTTTTTCTTAGAATTCTGACTTTAATTTCAGAATTCTGACTTTTTTTTCCGACTTTAATCTCAGAAATCTGACTTTAATCTCAGAATTCCGTCTTTTTTCTCATAATTCTGAATTTAATCTCGGAGTTCTGATTTTAATCTCAGAATTCTGACTTTTTCTCAGAATTCTGACTTTTTTCTTAGAATTCTGACTTTAATTTCGGAATTCTGACTTTTTTTTTCGACTTTAATCTCAGAAATCTGACTTTTTTCTCAAACTTCTGACTGCATTCTGACAGCATTCTGACAACAAACATGTTAGCATCAAGCCCTAGCCATGTCTAGAGACTAAAATATCTCTCTGGTTTTAATCCCCTTCTGCTTTTACATTAATGAAATAGCATCACTAGGGACCCCTCAGGCATGTAAAAAGTCTCCTAATTCGATCCTCCCAAAAGCCAAGTGCTCCCACATCTCTTTCTTCGGGGTGCCCTTTAAGATCAAGATCCAAAATTCTGAGATTCAAGTGAGAATTCTGAGAAAAAAAGTCAGAATTCTGACTTTTTTCCCACAATAAACTGAAATAATATTTAAGAATCAGTTAACTTTTTTTCTGGGGTCCTAATCCTCTTCCGCAAAAAGTAAAGTAAACTTTAATTGAATTAAATGAAATTACAAAAGTGCTACAGATCAAATTTACAGAAAGGTAATGACACATGACTAAACATAGGGAAACAAAAAGTCAATTTAATATTTAAAAAAAAGAACAGTGAAATAAGGTCAGAAAAAGACAACAAAGCCAAATTAGAAAGCATGATATTATAATTTGAAGATGTCATTCACATATTTTAGTTTATTAATTTAAATTTTTTTTTTAAGTTTTTTTATAACATGCACATTATTCCTCTTTCTATTACAGACATGGCTTAAATAAATTTTATTCAAGGATATCTAAGCAAAAAAATATTTCCATTTAATTACAATACGGATTTAGAAAATGTGTCCATCCTAAATGCTTTATGGTTCTTTTTCTCTGTGTGTTTGACCCCTTTTGCTTGCCGTTGGATGTGTTTTGATTACTGATTAATTTTAATCATTTTTACATTACATTTGTGATTGTCATAAGCAATTTTTAAATAAACTTGACTTTTAAACTTGAATTTTTCTCTTCCTAAGAGTAAACAGAAAATTTTTCCTGACTTCTTGCTACTTTTCTTCAACATTTTTGATCATTTTAAATATTTGACATCAGCTAATAGTTTCTTTCAATATCGTCTGTGCCAAGGTCAGAGGTATGGTATGCACTATGTAAGACAGAACAATCTGTTTGGTGGCAAATGGCTGCTCTGAGATCCAATTTGTTGCATGAACTCATATCTACCAGTAGATGGCGAGGTCTACAATCTGGTAATGATTTATTTGAAACGTTTGTTGCTCCCTTTTCAGTTGCCTTTTAAATATATAATATTAATAGTAATAATATTTTTTTTCTATCTATCTATCTATCTATCTATCTATCTATCTATCTATCTATCTATCTATCTATCTATCTATCTATCTATCTATCTATCTATCTATCTATCTATCTATCTATCTATCTATCTATCTATCTATCTATCTATCTATCTATCTATCTATCTATCTATCTATCTATCTATCTATCTATCTATCTATCTATCTAAACAAGACTGAATCTTATGAGAATGTTTATAACATTCCATCCGCAAAGAATGTCGAGGCCATTTCCTTGCACACTAGTCATGTTTAAAAGTCAGGCTCTTGAAGCTGGGATAGTGTACGATACTTTAGATATAAATGACACTGTTTACTATTAATATTCAATCTGACACAAGTGTATATATATATATATATATATATATATATATATATATATATATATATATATATATATATATATATATATATATATATATATATAGTATGTAGTCTTGTTAGTGAACATGGCGTACACCGCATGAAGCCCTCTGATCACACATAGCGCAGCACTTTTGAAAGGAATCACTGAATCATGGGAACCAAAGTGATAATGCGCACTTCTCTGTCTCCACGGCAACCAAAATACGTTCTCCTGGATGAAGTCATTTGTTACGCCGATCGTTGCCATGGCTACAACCTAGAGAGGGCGCTGCGGAGGTGCCCTTCACGTAAAATGACGCAGGGCGGGGGCGTGTCCGCGATGCGCGCTGCGCAGGGCTGCTTGTTGTTCCCGCAGAGAGGCGAGAAGATGGCGGCCGTGTCTAGCGGAGGTGCTGCTGGGTCCGCTGCGGCCGCAATTACGCACCCTGCCCGCCCGACCCACGCAGGAATGGGCTCCCAGAACCGGGCCCCGCCGTCCTCTGGGATCAACCCCAGCGGGCGTACAGGCACGGCCGGCGGGTGCATCACTAATCCCGGACACACTTCGGCCACCAGGCCCCCTCCAGCCCGAGTGGGCCACTACGAAATCGAGCGGACCATCGGCAAGGGAAATTTCGCGGTCGTTAAGCTAGCCACACACATCATCACTAAAGCAAAGGTAAGACGAGTCTTTTATCTGCGCTGTGGCTAAACTAACAGAAGTTGTCAGGGATTCATTTAATACATTTTAAACCCGAACTCGGAATGACGCTGGGGCCTCCGTTCACCGGAGACTGTACAGGCAGCGGTCCGCAGCTCCGAAGACTGGGTCCGGTTCGACCGGGGCATCACCTTCAGCTCATGGATATGTAGCCCCCCTATGTGTATATCCTCCTCAGCTTATTGCCATTTATAAACTATAGAGTTAGAGTTTAATAGGGCCATGTTTAAAGAGTGGCAGACTGACAAAGGTAGATAGAGAAGAAATATTTAGATGTTACTAGCTTTAGCTTACTGGCTAAATTAGCGATTCGATTAATAACGAAACGTTAAAAAAGTAGATTGTAAATAAGTATGACAAAAAGATTGATAGATCCGCCATTTCTCCAGTTTTCTAAACATTGATACTAAATGTTTAGGCTTAGTCATAAACTAGAGCAGAGGTTTAAACTGTGGCTAGCTGAGGCAGATGTGGTAGATTGGAGCTCGAGCTTCTCTTCATTCGCGATGATCGCTTGTTTTCATCCGGTGTTTCACGGCTGGAAAGTTTGAACGCCGCCTTTCATTTTTTTTTTCCTCGATACTTAACCGGTTTGTCAGAGCTGCCCTCCATTTCTGCACATCAGCTTTTCTGCTAATAACCAGATGACATTTGTAATGCCCCCCCTCCTTCCTTACCAACAAAACAATCTTTGTTTTAACCCTTTATAGGGCAAGCTACCCTTTTTGATCACTTGCCTACCCCTTAAAAATGGAGTCCTCCCCCAATCCTTCAGTGAGGTCTAGAAACACAAGATTTATATCCAGCCATTCAGTAAAGATGCTGCTACATGGCTGTAGATGAGCCCCTGAATGATGAATTATCTACTGTAAATAAAGTTGGAAAAAAAGTTAAAAAGTCAAGAAAAAAGGTAAAAAGCTAATTGAAAAGTTAAAAAGTTAATAAGCCTTGTTAACTATTGTATTTAGGTTTATAAACTGAAAAAAATGTAAGTCCCAGTATCAGCATAAATGCCTCTAAGGTTAAGTTGTACCAAAAAAAAGTGTTTCTTTCACTCTGAGTGTTTTTTTGTGAGTTTCTTATGGAAATTTAGATTTTTTTTTTATGTACTTCATTATAAAGGGTTAACCTTTTATAGTGCACTCAATGAAATACTTTAAAAGAA